TGGTGTATGATGAGTGGTGTATGATGAGTGGTGTATGATGAGTGGTGGTTGAACAGCTGTTGAATGTCCGTAACACGGAAGTTTTGCACACTAAACTTCCTTTGACTAGTAGCGTCCTTGCTCCTAGTAGTACGGCCAGGAGCCCCTACTAGCGTTCTTGTTCACATATCTACCCATTTTGAGGCTACCCTATGGCCGAAACAATAGGAGTACACAAAGCACCACAAGTTCACACATCCCATGAACAGATTGAGCACTGTACCCTGTCACTTGGAGTCCAAAAGTTACCGCCTTCCATCACCTTCCCCTACATATGCCCGCAGCTGCTTTGCTTCCAACCATAGCTGGGTTAGATTTGAGTCCTCAATACAGAATCTCCAACCATACTAGCGACGGTTTTCAACCTACTAGCGATGGCCTCCAACCCAAGAGTTACTCCATGTGTTGAAACCTGTCAGCCAAGGGATTGCTGTCAGCCTGCATCCACTGGATCCGGCCGCCTCGCCACAGGCAGGACTTCCGACTCTCCAACACCAAGTGCTATTGCTGCACCGTGAAGCACGTCACAGTCGCTTGGATCCTGGAGGGTTGGGAAAAATCGACCGTATTGGGGATTGAAGGGTTTGACAAAAGAAAGTGAGATGTTGATTTGTCCAGGTTTTGATGATCATCAACAAAGATTGGAGGGTTTGAAACATGTTTCAGAGATGTTGATTCTCCGGAGTGTGTCATGCTTCGTGGGTTCCATGTGATCTACGGAAAATGGGAAGGGCTGAGGCCCGGTCAGAAACACTGGCCCGGAGGTAAGGCTGAAGAAAGTTGTGTTGACTAGACTAGAGACTAGAGAACATGGTATCGTGGGACTAGAGTGGCCAGATGTGCCAGGACGTTGAAAAAATCCAACGCTGCAGCACCATATGATTTTTCACAAACAAGCCGTTGTCGAGGGTGTGTGTGTGCCCCTTGTAGTCACAGGGATTCTTTTGAATTGGGATTAAACTTGCTTTTGTGTCAAGCAGGGGCACTGAGCACTCCTTGGCAAACTCAGTGCAACGAAGCTATGCCTTGGAGTGGGATGCACGGACTGATCATCCGTGTGTGCCTGCAGGTTTACTTGAGACATTTCATCATGGGCCCTGCTTCTAACTAGAACAAGATTTCCAGCCTTTGCAACGGCTCTTCATCGGCAGATGTGCATTGTCGCTTTGGATGTGTCGATTTGGAGTTGGAGGCCGCGTAGGCTTTGAGAGGTTTGGAACCCCATACTTTACCTGTCCTGGCTTCTGCGGCTTTTCACTTAGGCTGGCGTGTGGCACCGCATTCACATCCGTATGCATTTCTATAAGTGTGTCTCTCCCCGTGAGAGCCCAGGGTGAGCCCGAAGAGTGCCCACTGTGGACCCGTTGAATGGGCGTTTGTCGTTGTCTCCCCTGCCCGGAGATGTACGTGCCCAGAGCGGGCGTAGGTGGCCTAGGCCGAGAGAACTCCGACTTATGTCTTACGTTTGGAATTCCAAGTTGGCTTATGCCTTTACGTGACCGCAGCGGTCTGACCAGCCAGCCATTTTGGCACGGCAAACGTGGCCGTAGCGGCCCAAGTTTGTCTAGACTCATGGGAGTCTGTCGTGAGCTTAGGTGCACACACAGCACGTACATGTTCAACGAGGCTTGCCTAGGTTCTTTAGTGAGGCTTGGGCTCATTGGTTTGCATCCCGTCCCCTCCATTTGGTTCCCTTTTCATCCTTTTCCCCTTCACACACCTCTGTTCTCCTCTTTTCTTTCATGTCCTCCTGTCTTCATGTCTTTCATCTCATCCTTTCTTTCGTTTGCGCGCACATTGGTCCCGGCCTTAGCGTGCACGTGCACAACTACATGTACTTTAAACTCAGGTTTTGGGCGGCCCAGGTGTTTATAATGAGGTGGGTTTCATTGTTTGTCCCTGTGCGCTTGGTTCCCCTTTCATCACAACCACACGCACCTTTGTCCCGTCCCGTCCTTCTGTCATGGCTTCATTACTTTGTCTCTTGCGCGCGCGCGCGTACGTGCACATTTGCCTTAACCTTAGTTTTACACCTCCCCTCGGGGAGGCGTGTGTATGTGTGCCCCTTGTAGTCACAGGGATTCTTTTGAATTGGGATTAAACTTGCTTTTGTTTCAAGCAGGGGCACTGAGCACTCCTTGGCAGACTCAGTGCAACGAAGCTATGCCTTGGAGTGGGATGCACGGACTGATCATCCGTGTGTACCTGCAGGTTTACTTGAGACACTTCATCATGGGCCCTGCTTCCAACTAGAAGAAGATTTCCAGCCTTTGCAACGGTTCTTCATCGGCAGATGTGCATTGTCGCTTTGGATGTGTCGATTTGGAGTTGGAGGCCACGTAGGCTTTGAGAGGTTTGGAACCCCATACTTTACCTGTCCTGGTTTCTGAGGTTTTTCACTTGGGCTGGCGTGTGGCACCGCATTCACATCCGTACGCATTTCTATAAGCGTGTGTAACCCTTGGAGTCACAGGGTTCCTCAGGGGTGTACCCCTTGGTCACAGGGTTCCGTTTGGAGTGTTTCGCTTTGGCTTTCATTTTCAAGCAGCAGGGGGCCAGGACTCCCTGGCGCGCGTCCTGGCCAACGAAGACCGCGCGCCAGGGAGGTGAAGCGTACCTGCTACTGTTAAACTGTTGATTGGTTGCTGTGGTCCCTTGGTTTGTTTCATGGTGGTTCATGTACCGGATGTTGTTCCAGGAGGTGTTTAGGTTTTCAGGTGATTCATAAAGGGCTAATGCACGTCTCGCCGTCATCCTGTCGCTCGTTCGTTTTTCGTTTTGAGCTCTGGAGATCTTTAACTTACCTGAACCTTAGGCGGTTTACTTAGGCTGGCGTTTGGCAACCGCTTTCGAGTCAGCACGCATGTCAATAAGTGTGTCTCCTCAGTGAGAGCCCAGGGTGACCCCGACGAGTGGCCCATGTGGACCTGTTGAACGGGGGTTTGTCGAACGTATCCCCTGCCCGGATACAGAGCAGCTCGCAGCGAGCGTAGGTGGCTTAAGCCAAAGTCATTTGCCAAGATTTGCTGAACTATTGAATTCTAAGCTGGCCGCCTTCGGGCATGCCTTTCGGTGACCATAGCGGTCAGAGCAGCCAGCCATTTTGGCACGGTGTACGTGGCCGCAGCGGCCGAAGTCATTCAAGTTTCATTGGAGCCTGTCGGGACCTTAGCCCCTCTCCTCCCCTTTCCCTCCCCTCTTTTCCTTTTTCCTTTTTCGGGATGTGGATGCTTTCGTCATAGCTGGGAACCCTTCTCTTCCTTTCTTGGTGTGTCCTTGGACGCTTGTGTCCTAGCTGGGAACATCGTCGTTTTCTTTGTCTTTTCTCTCTTCTCTCCCTACCCCTCCCTTCCTCGTGCACAGCGCACTTACAAACGAGGCCTCCGCAACAGGTTTTCAATGAGGTTTGGATTTCATCGGTTCTCGTCCCCTCCATTTGGTTCCCTTTTCTTCCTTTTCTCCCCCTCACACACATCTGTTTTCCTCTTTTCTTTCATGTCCTCCTGTCTTCATGTCTTGGCACTTCATTCCGTCTTTCCTTTGCGCACACATTGGCCCGGCCCTCTCAGTGTGTACGTGCACATCCACATACACTTTAAACCCAGGTTTCAGGTCGCTCAGGTTTTATAACGAGGCGGGGTTCATTGTTTGTCCCTGTGCACTTGGTTCCTCTTCATCGCAACCACGTACACCTTTGTCCTGTCTTGTCCCCTTTTCATGTCTTCATCTGTTTGTCCGTGTTGCGCGCACACGCGCATTCGCCTCCCCTCGGGTCAAGCAGCAGGGGTGTACCCCTTGGAGTCACAGGGTTCCTTTTGGAGTGTTTCGCTTTGGCTTTCATTTTTAAGCAGCAGGGGGCCAGGACTCCCTGGCGCGCGTCCTGGCCAACGAAGACCGTGCGCCAGGGAGGTGAAAACGTACCTGCTATTGTTAAACTGTTGATTGGTTGCTGTGGTCCCTTGGTTTGTTTCATGGTGGTTCATGTACCTGTTGTTGTTCCAGGAGGTGTTTACGTTTTCAGGTACTTCATCAGGGGTTAATGCACGTTTCGCCGTCATCCTGTCGCTCGTTCGTTTTCGTTCTGAGCTTTGGAGATCTTTAACTTACCTGTAAAGACTGTAAAGGGCTAATGCGCGTCTGTCGCTCGTTCGTTTTTCGCTTTGAGCTCTGGAGATCTTTAACTTACCGTAATACCTGAACCTTGGGCGGTTTACTTAGGCTGGCGTGTGGCAACCGCTTTCGAGTCAGTAAGCATGTCAACAAGTGTGTGATCGATATTGACTTCTAGATCCTATTGCTGTTGGCGGCTCGGAACGGCCACCAACGGCTGGTGATCCCTTTGAGACGATGAAGTCACTTCCAGGCCATCCCAGCTTCCACGCCCTTGGGTTTCAGCACCACTTGTTACCAGCTGTAGTGGTAGCTGGATCCATTGGGGCGGTTTTTTAAAGGTCACTCACTATAACCCCACTATTCGTCTTACTGTAAGTGTAAAGGAATGTGTAGAGAATGTACCTGTCCATTATGTAGAGAGAGAGAGAGGGCCAGCAATCCAGCAGTAGACAGCAAACAGAACATCTCCAACAAACGATTGAGAACAATGCTTCATTTTTGTAGTGCCCAACCCACTTCCTCCACTCGGATGGTTCAATTTGGAGACCATTGCGACTAGCCTTAGCTGAGGAGAAGGGTGTGCCATTGCCTTTGTGTGACCGCGAGATCCTGACGAAGTCTATTGGCATTTGGCCTCCCGGACTCAAAGAAGGGTACGTTTTGCGCAAACCTGGATCCGCAACACCATGTAGCTTGACCGCGGAGAGAGTCTGCAGAGAGTGCCCGTTCACCCGATGGGTTTGCCTTGTGAGGTTCGGGAGTGGCCTGAACTTCGAACAGGACGCCCGATCGGTGGTCCTGGCACCTTGGAAGCGGATGGGTGGTGTCCGAGGGGAAGAGAAGGGATGGAGAAGAAAAGGACGGGACTGGTGTCCGGTAGGCAGAGAAAGGAGTGCCCAAAAGAGAGGAGGAGTGGAGCTGGTTTTTTAGCAGGCTCGTATCGAAGTGACTCCAACCGGCCTGATGAGGGCACGAGACAACCCCAGCTGAGTTCTTCAGCACGAAGCACTGGTCGTCAGTGGCAGCCAATTTGTAGCAAGTATTGGTGAAGCTGCCCATGATGAGAGGAGTCTATGGGCAAAGAACCCTGAGATCCCAAATGAGCATCCCCCACTTCTGTGGCCGTGAGACATCCGTCAATTGCAAGGTCTTAAGGATCTGCAACGGGCAACTGGACTAGAAAAGGTGACGATGAAATAACCTGCCTTTGGGCAGTACTACTATGTTGATTTGGGAGATGTGGAGAAACGTCCTCAAAGAAAAACAAAAAACATGGCAAGGCCGGTGGCCATGGGTCTTTCGGGGGATGTTCATTTGAGATACCTGCATGTTTTTCTTGAGTATAGGTTGACTTACCTTCTCATCAGTGGCAATTCCAGCCACGGCTTCCAGTTCTGTGAGCGGAAAGCGAAATTTGGTGAACCCCACTGTTCGTGACTGAGGGACAACCGTGGCGAGTTTTTGAACTCCGGAGCTCCTGGATTGGAATTGTGTCTTTTTCTTCGCTCGCCATCCACTGCGCTGCGGAAGACCTGCCGTGAACTGCTGAGGAATGCTTGACGGAGCAGCTGGGTCATAACTACTTCCCGTATTGGCCACTGGGCAAGACATCTGGATGGGGATGCCACACATGTGGCGGCGCTGGCTAACAAGTGTCTGGAGTCACCAGGGCTGGCGTTGTCGTTCGGTGTTTTCACGCCGTCGGGGCCGCGCCGTTTAGGGCCGACCGATGTCATGTCGGACCCGGTACTCGTTCCGTCCCAGTTTTGGGGGAAGACGAAACATCCAGATGTCCATGACAACAGCTGTACGTTCACAGTTTGAATGTTTCAAGGATCTGGCACTTGGGAACTTGGGAGCTGCAAGATTCTCCTGTTTCATTGGTATGTTTGAATGGATTGGGTTGCTTAAGCCTTAAGCTTCCCCTGGCACAGGAGAAAATGGTCTATGTCATTCATGCCGCTTGATACCAAGAACTCAGATGTCCAGCTTTCTCTTGTCTTGGGAACCCATGGTTTACACCAACACAAGCCTCAAAGGAGGCCAAGAAGGGCACCACGCTGTTCCGCGCTCGGCTTGTGTCCAATTGCTCGGCTTGATAGGTCGGTCCAATTGCTCGGCAAATCCAAGGAAGGAGCCGGATTTCAAAGCCCCGAAGGTGAAGAAACTTGAACATACATGGTCTCCTGATCCCCATATATCCTCAAAAAGATCATCACATACATCACCAAGAAAACCACTTCTCAGCTCGTCTTCTCCCACACCGGTGAACCACCCCTTCCGCTCCTTCCGGTCCGTTGCTCGGCTCGGCCGTTCCCCGGACCGGAGAGCAGGCTTTGGCTGGTGGCCACCTCTCCCATCTTGTGGATCTTCTTGGACATCACCGTGAAGTCCCAGTCCCGCGCCCCGGACGCGAAACCGTCTTTGAGCGGGGCGGAGAGAGGCGTTCCAGTTGGGGAGCGGGGCGGATGGAAACGAGGCGGAGAGAGGCGTGGAAAAGGTCTTTTGGGAAGACTGCGAAGGGTGGAAGGGTGGAGAATACCTCCGGAAAGGGGGTTCATCAAAACATATGAGGTACATTGAGGCACATCAAACCCCCCAAAAACTCGCAGTGTCCTCTAGTTCTCTCAAATTGGATGTCAATTTCTTTGGGTCCCACCAACAACGGGATGACATGGGTGAAATACCAATGACACCTCCTTCCACGGTCTCTCACCCGCCACCCAGTCGACGGGTAGCAGGTCAGACCCTCAGCGGCCCTCCCCGTACGGCAGGGTCCGGTCCGTACGTTGTGGGTCAAGGCCCGGACCTTGGGAAAACGACCACCTTGGGACAGACAGAACAGACGACCTATAAGGGAGGTCGACCTACCAGCGTGAAAGGAGCTTTGGGTATTGACCAGGAGTCACAGGGCTTCCATTCTGCTCAGTTGGCTGGCCAAACCTCAAGGTCGGGTGGTGTGGTTTTTGGTCGGCTTTCCTTGGCTCCTGTCCTTTGGTTTGTGTTTGGAGAGGGGAGGGGATTTCGAGAACTTTCCTTTGCCGAAGGACAAAGGTATCCTTGAATCTGTAAAAATAGGGACTGGGTCTTCGAATGAGACGAGGGTTCGGACTGTCTTCTTTTCACTCCGTTCTGCACTTACACCAGTGACTGCAGGAAAAAGGATCACACAACCTTCCTGTGTGAGATCCAGGTAGGTGGCAGTGGGACGAATTTCTGTGTGGTTCGCCTTCCGTATTTTCAATATCACTACATGGCAATGGGTGGATCGGCTTATTTTAAAGAAAAACAGCGCATCTAAGCGGACCATCTGCCGGAAAAGTGATGCATCCAATCTCCTCAGCTCTCCTCAGCCCCTCCTGTCCCTTGCTCTCCACCGGGTGTGGCAGCCCCTCGCCGCGTGTTGCGCAGCATGCCGCATGCCGCGTGCTGAGGCCCTGGTGGTGCCTGGAGCGATCAGTGGCCTTTTTGGTTCATCTCGGCCTGGGGCTGGTGGATGGGTGCCTTTGCTGGACAACGATGGAGCGACGAAACGGAGCGACGAGATGGAGCGGAGCGACGACGACGGCTTTTGAGGAGCGGAGCGAAGAGGTTTGGGCGTCAGAGGTGACAGCTGCATCCGGATGAAGCGTGGAACAAGCAACGATACCGAGCCGGCAAAAAGGAGGTGCCACATGGTGTTTGCTTTTCGTCACATGGAGCCTCCACTGGGCTCCAGAATCCACAATTTAGACCACCCCACGAAGCCGACCACGCACGTTCTCCGAGGTGCCGTGCCCTGTTGTGGGGCCGCTTTTTTTCACATCTGCAAAGTCCTGCGTACGCCGTGGAAAACCCGTTGGCTCCTTGGTTTCGATGGGATTTGGTTCAGCCAACAGGAGGGTCTAGTTCGGTCTGGTGAGAGATTTGGGGCCATCTCCGGAGTGTGGATGAGTTCTGCTTGGCTGGGGCTCCAAAGTGAAGAAACGGAACCAAGAACCAAGCAGCGCTCTCGTTGGTAGACAAAATGGGGGCGCACTCGGCTTGAACAACGCACGTATTTGTATGCGAATTCAAACATGGCCGTGGCCTAGGTTAATCCCTTGCTGTTCTTTGGAGACATTATGTTTGATTCCCAAGGGTCCATGATCAGTAGGTTGGAGGCCATCGCTAGTAGTTTGGAGGGGCGGAGCCTCGTCTGTACACGCGGAATTTCCCTCGAATGTACACGCGGAGAATTGATCTCGTTTGTGCACGCGAAACTCGGATGTGCACGCGGCTTCCTCGGCTGTACACGCGGCTTACACGGCTGAAAAAATGAATGAATGAATGGAACCCGACCAGATTGTTTCACAATCTGAACCTTGTTGTCTCATTTTACGTCCATCGCTTTAGATGCGCTGTTTGGGCTGTCAGATCCGTGGACGGGCACAGCGCGCAGACATGCGAGCTTTCATGCGGAACATGTGTCGTTATGATTTCGACAGGAAGCCACGTTGTTAAGTACCTTCACCTTAACACGTCAGAAGATGAAACGCCCGTCGGCTGCCATGCGGCGCCCCTCAGCCGTGAACCTGTGGAAGCAATGAGCAAAAAGAGATCATCATGTAGATGAATGTCCAGAGGGACGTCATTAACACCCCCCCCACCCCCCCACCCACCCCCCCATCCCAACCCAACATCATCAATCAATCGCAGAGCGTCTGTGTGACGTGAACCTGTGGAAGCAATGAGCAAAAAGAGATCATCATGTAGATGAATGTCCAGAGGGACGTTATTAACATCCCAACCCAACATCATCAATCAAACGCAGAGCGTCTGTGTGACGTGAACCTGTGGAAGCAATGAGCAAAAAGAGATCATCATGTAGATGAATGTCCAGAGGGACGTTATTAACACATCATCAATCAAACGTAGCAATGAGCAAAAAGAGATCATCATGACTCAATTTGTGTGTGCGCAAATGAGGCGAATCATGTGATTTGAGTTTGGGGTAACATGGGCTGTTTAAAGAGGAATGTAATCGATGTGTGCGCAGATGAGGCGAATCATGTGTGCGCATTTGAGTTAAATATATAAAAAAGTCTGTGTGCGGAATTGAGGGGAATTATGTGTGCGCAAATGAGGCGCCATCCGTTTGGAGGCCATCACTAGTAGGTTGGAGGCCATAGCAATGAAAGTAGCTTGGAGGCCGTTGCTAGTCTAAGGAAGTTTAGTGTGCAAAACTTCCGTGTTACGGACATTCAACAGCTGTTCAACCACCACTCATCATACACCATTCATCATACACCACTCATCATACACCACTCATCATACACCATTCATCATACACCACTCATCATACACCACTCATCACGCACCACTCATCATACACCACTCATCATACACCACTCATCATACACCACCCATCATACACCACTCATCATACACCACTCATCATACACGACTCATCACACACCACTCATCATACACCACTCATCATACACCGCTCATCATACACCGCTCATCATACACCACTCATCATACACCACTCATCATACACCAGTCATCATACAACCACTCATCATACATCACTCATCATACACCACTCATCATACACCAGTCATCATACACCACTCATCATATACCACTCATCATACACGAGTCACCATACACCACTCATCACACACCACTCATCATATACCACTCATCATACACCAGTCATCACACAACCACTCATCATACATCACTCATCATACACCACTCATCATACACCAGTCATCATATACCACTCATCATACACCACTCATCATACACCAGTCACCATACACCACTCATCATACACCACTCATCGTACACCACTCATCATACACCACTCATCATACACCACTCATCATACAATACACTACTTATCATCCAGTTTGCTCTACCTCCAGTTGGCTCTAGTGTCAATAGCTCTAGCTCCAATAAGCTCTTAGTTTCAATAGCTCTAGCTCCAGTTAGCTCTGGTTTCAACAGCTCAAGCTCCAGGCAACTCCAGCTCCAGGTGCAGATTTCGTGGCAGGTGCAGCACTTTGTGAACCTCCATGTGCAGATTTCGTGGCAGGCACAACACTTTGTGAACCTCCATGTGCAGATTTCGTGGCAGGTGCAGCACTTTGTGAACCTCCATGTGCAGATTTCGTGGCAGGTGCAGCACTTTGTGAACCTCCATGCGCAGATGTCGTGGCAGGCGCAGCACTTTGTGAACCTCCATGTGCAGATTTCGTGGCAGGTGCAGCACTTTGTGAACCTCCATGTGCAGATTTCCTGGCAGGCACAGCACTTTGTGAACCTCCATGTGCAGATTTCGTGGCAGGTGCAGCACTTTGTGAACCTCCATGCGCAGATTTCGTGGCAGGCACAGCACTTTTTGCACCTCCATGTGCAGATTTCGTGGCAGGGCAATACAAAATGCGTTGTGGAGAGATAGCGAACGCACGAAAAACCTCCATGCGCAGATTTCGTGGCAGGCACAACACTTTGTGAACCTCCATGCGCAGATTTCGTGGCAGGTACAGCACTTTGTGAACCTCCATGTGCAGATTTCGTGGCAGGCACAGCACTTTGTGAACCTCCATGCGCAGAGTTCGTGGCAGGCACAGCACTTTGTGAACCTCGATGTGCAGATTTCGTGGCAGGCACAGCATCTGCGGAGCTGGAAGCTGAGAACTGGCGACTTTGTAGTACAACTTTAGTACGCGGAGCATCTGTAGAGCTGGAAGCTGAGAACTGGCGACTTTCTAGTACAACTTTAGTACGCGGAGTATCTGGGGAGCTGGAAGATGAGAACTGGCGACTTTGTAGTACAACCTTAGTACGCGGAGCAATCTGTAGAGCTGGAAGCTGAGAACTGGCGAC